CCCCGCCGCCACCGCTGCGCTGCCCGCTGCCTGACCGGACCCCACCAGCTCCATGAGGGCCAAGCAAGTGAACTTGATGATGGCGTTCATCGCGGTCATGCTCTTCAGCTTCTCCTGTTTCTGTATCTACAGGATGACTCAGACCAGTAAGCGAGGGTGGCTTCTCCCGCCAACTGTCTCGATCGGGGCTCCTGGATTGCTGGGTCAGAGAGAAGGGGGTGGGCTGACATAGGGACCTGGCGGGGTCGCCTGCTCTCCTAATAGGGGCTTCACAGATGTAGCCCCCACGCCCTGGTCCTGCCAGCGGTTGAGCTGTAACGGACACCCAGGTCTATCTGCGTGGCTTTGACCGCCACTTGGCACGCGCGTTAACGCATTGGCCTGCAGGTAGGTTCCCACGTAGGTTCAAGGACCCGATCTGTGTCCAGCCGCACCCCCCACCCCCACCCCATTATTTCCAGAAACGCCAATGCCTGACTCCAACAACTGTCACACAGCCAGCATCTTTCCTCTTTCGTGTTCAGCATTTTTGAGCCACACTTCAGGCTCCGTCAGTAAATTCTGGGAAGCTGAAAAGGATGAGATGGCGGAGAGAGGCATAACCAACAGTTTAGAGTGCTGGTTTGGAATCTGACTGACATGGCTCACATTGCCACTTTGAAACACACCAAGGTTTTAATTTATTGTTGTCTGTGGCGTTCCCAAGGTAGCAAATAAAAGTGGAGGTTGCCCAGTTAAATTTGAATTTCAGATAAGCAATGAGTAAGTTGTTACTGTAAAAATTGCATGGGATACATTCATACTAAAAAATTGTTTATCTGCAATTCAAATTTAACTTTGGTTTCCTGTATTTTATCTTTCAACTCTAGGCCATAGCATAACATTTTAACATTTATACAGTTAAATTTTGAACTGAAGACGTAGGGATTCTGCAAACATATTAACCCAGCCTTCCAAGACTGTCCTTGGGTTGTTTTAGGTTAAATTTTCATTCTTCTTTTGATACTCATTTATGATTCAGGGTGCACACTAAGTAATCTTGGTAGTAGAGTCAAGGATAAAGTTTGAAAGTGGCTTTAGTCCTCTAATTAATGTTTATGTCCTCTAATTAATGCTAAAACTATGTTTTAGTCCCTTAATTAATACTAAATTTTGTCATGTACCCACAATACCAACATTGCATGCCATTTGTTTCAAAGATTAAAAAATGTATATTAATTTATATGATATATACTACTAATCTTTAATCATTTTATACTCTTTCCTTCTTCATTTTCTACAAAGACCATTACCCAAATGTGTCTTTTATTTATTTTGGAACAATAAACAATGAGCAATTTTATTAACAAAAAAATGTCATTACTCATAATTAGAAAGCAAAATGTAAACCTCTTTTGATAGTAATTTTGGAAGACAATTTAGATTGGCAACCTCATAGGACACTTTAATACAATTAACATTCTTTTAATAAAACTGTAGACTTGTTGAGATACATACAACCATTTTGGTGTGTTTTCTAGTTATGACCACGAAAAACAAGTTTGGTTCCTCAAAGTGTTTATATTCCCATCCTTCATATGTCCAAGTTCAGAAAATGAGATCTTGAGAATACACTACTCTTTTTTTTTAAATCTTCACCTGAGGATTTGTTTATTAATTTTTAGAGAGAGGAAGGGAGAGAGAGAGTGAGGTGAGAGAGAGAGAGAAACATCAATGTGCAAGAGAAACATTGATCAGTTGCCTTCTCCCCATCCAAGTGGGGGACCATATATAATCACCAAGGTATCCGACCTGTGGGAATGTACATTTGTGTCTACAACATACCCTGCAGCAGGACTGGCGAGGAGAGAGCTCCCAGGTGTAGTCAGCAGAGTCCAGGATCCAAGGGCTAGTGGGCTCTTCATTATTCCTTCCTCCCTTGGCCTGTGCACCTCGAGGATAATTCCATTTCGACAATTCCATTATACTTAGTTGTTCAAATATATGCTCCTTTCCCGCATCCCTTGCAAGCCCGATTGTTAGTTAATTTAGAGCAGGAACCTGACTTTATCCATGTTTGTTTACCTATCACAGCACAGTGAGTGGCACATGATACCTATTCAATGGGAGAAAGAATGAATAGCTCAGCATGCTTCTCCTTACCGGAGGTATTTAGTGAATGAAATAAGGTGGAAAAGTTAGGTCATAGCCACATTGTATAGGACCTTGCATACTAAGGCAAGTTCATTTGGATTTTATTCAGCTAGCATTTAGGGAACCGTTTAAAGTCTTTGAGCAGGGTTTCCAGAAGACTAACTGTGGATTGGAGGTGAGAGACCAATTAAGAGGCAATTATAATACTAGTGCAGCGAGAGGCAATAAAGACCTGAACTCTATAGTGAAGTCAATGATGAGGAAGATGGAACTATTAGAGGTCTATTAACAGTACTTCTTCAATTTTAACACGAATCTCAGTCTCCTGTGAATCATTAAAATACAGCTTCTGACTCAGGAGGCCCTGGGTGAGGCCTGAGATATGTGTATGACAGGCTCGCAGCTGGTATCATCGATCTGTGATGTCCGGTCCGGTAGCTCCTCTTCAGGTAGCGACTGGGCACTCAAAGTGTAGTGTGTGCAACTGAGGAACTGCATTTTAATCTAATTTTAAGTTAATCTAAATTTACATTTTAAAATGGAAGCAGTGCAAAATCTTTCTCCATTAAGAATTTTTTTTGTTTTGTTTTGGTAGGACTACATTTTAGTATAACTGTTAATTTAGCATCTGAATTAAGATGTACTGTAAGTGTAAAATACACACAGGATTTTCAATACCATTTTTATATATATCCTTTTTTTAGTACAAAAACAAAGAATGTAAACTATTTCATTAATTGCTTTTTATGTTGATTACATATTGAGAAAAGTTTTTAGATATTTAGGACTAAGTTAAGTATATTATTGATACTTTCACTTGTCTCTTCTTACCCTTTTTTAAAGGTGACTAGTAGAAAATATAAACTTACAAAGGTGGCTTGCATTTCATTTCTACTGGCCCCTTGCTGTGAGGAGCGAAGGTCGGTGTTCTCAGGACCTCACCTGGTTCATGGGTGGGAGTCCCATTGGCCCATTGCACATGTGAATTGATGTTTCTTTTCACAATTTTACCACAATTGACTCAAAACATCAAATATCATTTATTTCAAACTTTGCAGGAAAGGTAGTTTTATAACAGTCCATCCTCACAAAGTACCTCAGTGATTATGCAGCTAATATAAATAACTTAAATAGAATACTGATGAGTTGAATTACCAGGTAAGAATGAACGAGAAGCAGACCTAAGCCTAGAGATTGTGTCCTTTAACATTTCTGTATGGTTGTTTCTGCAAATACTACTTCCTCTAGAGAAAACGCTTTCTTTTCATGTTTACCAAATTGATCCCTCAGGGACTGACTTACGTTGGCCCAGATATGTTGCATCACCTGTGTTATATCAACTCCAAACACATGATCCCTTTTGTAAAGAGAATATTACCTGGGAACCCCAGCAACAGGGTTATACTGGTTAAACTACGTCCCTGTTTAAAAAAAGTAATATCCACTATATAGATTTTCAAGATTTATTGGGGTAGTTGCAATTCTTTTGATGAAGCATGGTTCCGTTTTAGAACCTCTTAAATCAATTTCAATGCTTTAGATAATGCTCCCTGCTGGATTTCAAAGACTGAATTCTTTGCCCAAGGCTAAGGCTAGTGTGAGCCAAGGCAGGGATGAAGTAAGACTGAGGCCGTATTCTTTCACTACATTGTCTTGCTCAGTTTTATAAGTGCCTCTCAAGATTTTTCGCTCTCAAATCTATAATACCAGCCTAAACTTCAAAATCATACAGCCAAATGTTTGCCTTGTATTTGGAAGCCTCATAAGCATCACAATGGCTTTAATGACATTAAATATTCTTTTCCATAGCTGCATGGTATTCAATTGATAAATGAATAAAGAGTAGTCCACCAAAAAATGTTTATTAGACATTTGTCAAAGCACTTTTTAAAATGTGCTTTACCATGTGGTTTGCATGCATTATTGAATTGCATCTTCACAACAACTCTGAGGCAGGGATTCTTACATATCCATTTACACGTGAAGAACAGGCTAGCAAAAATTAAACAGCTTGCTCAAGCCGCACAAATATTAAGTAGCAAAACAGATTTCATCATATGTGATTTAAGAGCCATCAGACTATTAAAAAGATATTCTGTAATTTATTTAGCATATTTCCATTGTTAGGTACTTAGGTTGTTTCTGATTTTCTTACAATGATAATGCTAGATATACAGTATAGCTATAGAGAAGCATAAATTTTACATTTTTGTTATATATTATGAAAATTGTATGATACCATTGCTACATATATAAACATATACATATGTGTTTTCTTTGCAGGTAATCAATTAATTAATTGTAGAAACCATATTTTGGAGTTTAAGGAAAATTTTCTACGTTTAAAAAACAAAACTGAAAGAAATCGCCAAGAGCTGATGGAAGCCTTGAGTAAAATGAAGTATGACAATAGACAGAGTGCAGGTGTACCCGTAAAGTTAGGTTTGTGTTACTTTTGTTTTTGTGCATGGTGGTTTGTTTGTTTTATTTTTTATGTTTTGTACATTTTATGCTTCCTGATTTTAGGACATTTCTCCCCAATAAATGTAATTAAATCAGTTCTTGCTCTTTTATTGTCAGCCATGGGAAAATCAGGTAAGAGACATCACTGCCTCTCACCTCTATCTGGAAGGGGGTCTTTCTGTGTTTTCGATCTCTGTGAATGCACCATGATGCACCCAGTAGACGCAGCCAGAAACCTGAACATCATCTCTGACTCCTGCCTCTCCCTCCTGCATACTTACTTCCATGTCAGTCAGTGAGCAACCCCATTGATTCATAATCCCACATACCTCACAAATCTGTCCATATTTTTCCATCACCGTCTCTACGATCCTAGTCAGGCCACCTTCATGCTTCATCTAAATGTCTGCTAACATACTCCTATTTTTTCTCTGTCTCTCTAGTCTTGTCCCCACCTACCTATCCTCACTGCAGCCAACGTGAAGACTGCACTGTCTTGTATATCAACCTTCAGTGGTTCCCCTTTTCTTCAGGATATAAAGTCCTGCCACATGCCTCCCCCTGTGTAGTCAAATACTCCCCCCTCCCCTCGCCCCGCCCCACTCTTAATGCCTGGAAACCACTGCTCAGTTTTTTGTTCCTGTATTTTTCCATTTTCCCCGAATGCCATGCAAATGGAATCACACAGATAACCCTTTGAGACTGGTTTCTTTCACTTCGTGTAGATTCATCCAAATGTCATGTGACCATTTGTTTGCTGCTTTGTTATTGCTGAGTAGCATTCCATTGTATGGGTGCACAATGGATAGTTTGTTTCACCAGCTGAGGGGCATTTGGGTTGATTTCAGGTTTTGGGTGATTACAAATGCCTATTGCTATAAGCACTCATGTACAGGTGTTTTGTTTGAATTTTCATTTCTTTAGGATAAATATCTAGAATTTGTGGGCATACGGTAAGTATATGAGTAACTTTGTAAGAAACTGCCAAACTGTTTTCCATTCTGTATTCCCTGCAGCAATTGTATGAGAGTTCCAGTTCCTCCCATTTATTATGGCCATTCTAATGTCATGGCATTTCATAGTTTTAAGTTGCATTTCTGTCTAGTGTGATGATGTTGAACATTTTTATGTATTTATTTTCCTTCCGTCTTCTTTGTAATATGTCTGATCAAATCTTTTGCACATTAAAAAAATTGGGTGGTTTGTTTTCTTGTTGAGTTTTGAGAGTTTTTAAAAAAAATATATTTTTATTGATTTTATAGAGGAAGGGAGAGGGAGAGAGAGATAGAAATATCAATGATGAGAGAGAATCATTGATTGGCTGCCTCCTGCACGCTCCCAGCTGGGGATCAAGCCTGCAACTTGGGCATGTGCCTTGACCGGAATCAAACCTGGGACCCTTCAGTCTGCAGTCCAACGCTCTGTCCACTGAGCCAAACCAGCTAGGGCTGAGAGGTTTTTAAAAAAATATATTTTATTGATTTTTTACAGAGAGGGATAGAGAGTCAGAAACATAGATGAGAGAGAAACATCGATGAGCTGCCTCCTGCACACTCCCCACTGGGGACATGCCTGCAACCAAGGTACATGCCCTTGACTGGAATCAAACCTGGGACCCTTTCAGTCTACAGGCTGACGCTCTATCCAGCGAGCCAAACTGGTTAGGCGAGAGGTTTTTTTTTTAATGTATCTTGGATACATATCAAATGAATATGTGATTTAGAAATATTTTCTCTCAGTCTGTGGCTTGTCTTTTTATTCTCCTAATGTGTCCTTCAGAAAGCAACCATTTTCAATTTAGATGAAATCCAATTTGTCAGTTTTTTTTTATATATTATGCATTTGATGTATCTAAGAACTCTTTAAGAGTCATGGGGATTTTCTTTTATGTTTTTTTTTATTTTATAGTTTCAGATTTTACATTTTAGGTCTATAAAACCTTAGAGTTTACTTTTATAAATGGTGTGAAGAATAGGTTAAGGTTCAGTCTTTTTTCTGTGGATGTCCAAGTGTCCTGGCACCATTTGTCAAAAAGGTGCCCATTCTGCATTGAATTGCCTTCATATCTTTAAAAAAGTCAATCTACCATATTTGTGTGGGTCTCTTTCTGGATTCTCTATTGTGTTCCATTGTTATATATATCTATTTTTTTTCTGTTATACCACATTGCCTTGATTTACATATATATTATGAATTAAAATTAGGTAGTGTGAGTCCTCCAGCTTTGTTTTTCTTTTTCAGAATTGTAGAGGCAAATTCAAATGAACGGTGTGAATGGAGTCATTAAATATTGAGGGGGCTATAAAATAAAATTATAAGGATACAAACTTTAATGATGCAATATTAGTCAAAGTAGCAAAACATATGATATGTGCTTTGGAAATAGTTTCAGTTATACTTCTTTATAGTATGTTTCAGTTATACTTCCTTCTTTGGAACTGACAGTTCTATGAGCTTGTGGTCGTTGTAGCTCATAGTGATAGATTTAACTTAAATACAGGAAGCCCTCACTTAACATCATCTATAGGTTCTGCAACTGTAAGGTAAATGATATCTAAGGAAACCATGAACTCAGAAGCCCTATTTTTTCTCTTTCAGGTGAGAAGGAAGTGAATACATTGGATAAGAATGAAACAGTGTCTAATACATTTGAAGTCTTAAAGTTCTTTCTCCCTCATCTGAGGAAAGTAGGCAGAATTTATCCTGATGTAATCATCAGCAAAAAGAAAGAAGGCGGTAAGAAAATTAGAACAGGAAAATCAAATACAGATATTCTGATCTTTGGGTACATGCCTTTAAGTTTTAAAATGTAATCCGTTAAAATGATGCTCAATTTGATACTTAGATCACCAGCCTATCTGGCATTAATTTGGATAACCAGAAATCAGTATATCGTCTGGCAGAAAAAAATAGGTTAATAAATATTTGGAGACTTGAATTTAAATTCAGCTTTGATACAGATGCTTTGAATATAACTCAAGTAATATGTTAAGTATCTGCTCAGTACTTGGTAACTCTTTTTCTCCCTTGGTTTTTGATAAATCTATTCTCATCTGATTATCTCCACATTCCCCATCTTTGCCTTTCTCGCAAACCTCATTCATTCCAATGAGTGTGTCCCTCTGTGCCAGGGGTCAGCAAACCACAGCCCCCAGGCTGACCCTGCCTATTTTAAGAACGGTTTTGCTGGACCATAGGCATGTTCATTGCTTACATGCTGTCTGTTGCTTTAAGCATAGAATCTTGGTATCTATTTAGGATGGCATGGGTGTGTTCTGACAGTGCTTCGGCCATTATTGGGCAATAAAAGTCACTTAGAGACATGGATTTATCCCATCAAGTCACTTGGAAATTACCTCTTGCACTGTTTTCAAAGATGACATTATTTCATAGTATTTTTCCTATTTGGAGTTCTAGTGTCTCCTTAGGAAGAAGAGTAGAGAACCAGCCAATGCCTTTCGTACCCAGTTAGTTGACACTATAATAAATGGAGAGTGAATAGTTTTCTTTTCCACTATACTGAAATTGTCTCGTCGTCTATTTAATGCATTTCCTAACTATCCACTACAAATTGGAATTTCCTTACCACATTAAGCGCCCAGTCAGTCACTGGTGACTGACACTATACTTTCCATCCAGAAGACAAAACAGGCTGGGCGCTTAATGTGTTAAGCAGAAAATGAAATCCTATATAATAAAAGCCTAATATGCTGAGTGTCCAGTCATCCAGTCGTCTGTTCAACCAAAGTGTAATATGCTAATGATATGCTAAGGCCACTCAACTGCTCGCTATGACATGCACTGACCACCAGGGGGCAGATAGTCAACCAGTTGCTATGATGTGCACTGACACTAGGGGGCAGAAGCTCCGACCGATAGGTTAGCTTGCTGCTGGGGTCCAGCCAATTGGGGCTGAGTGAGATGGGCCAGACATGCCCTCCTGCGGCCCCTCCCCGGCTGGCTAACCTCCTGCATCTCTCCCCAGCTCTGATCATGCACCCGTGGGGTCCCTTGGCCTGGCCTGCGCCCCCTTGCAATCCGGGACCCTTGGGGGGGGATGTCGGAGAGCCGGTTTCAGCCCGATCCCACAGGCCAGGTCGAGGGACCCCACTGGTGCATGAATTTGTGCACCAGGCCTCTAGTATAATATAAAAACTAACAGCTTTTGGTTGGGATTACTTCTGTAATACAATTTCAAGCACTATTTTTATGACCACACAATTAACCCAAATGTAGAAGTAAGCATAGATATTAATGCTAAATTATATTTTTCTCTGTGGTTTGAAATGGTGATGCCATGCTCGGGTGTCTGCAGTGTCTTTTGCACTGGGCATTTCCACTGTTAAGAGACGAAATTATAGTTACCTGAAGCAAACGCTGACCTCGCTTGTTTCCAGGATGACACTTTTGGAGGAGAAGGACTCTGTAGTGATCGTCTCTATTGCAGATGTACGTATGAAGGCCAACCAGCTCTCCTTGCCCCCAGCCCACAGTCTCCATGCTAATCACTGTATGATTTCAAAATTTCCCCTCAAATTTCAAAAAGCAATTCACAGATGCCTTTTTTAGATAGCAGACAATGTATTTGATACTTTTTTTTGACACCACCAAGAAAGAATTAAATATGTCAATCTAAAAAGTTTATTTAAATATCACATTTCCATGTGGAGAAATAAGATTATATTATTAAATATGTAACTAGGCCTGGCCGGCATGGCTCAGTGATTGAGCATCGACCTATAAACCAGGAGGTCATGGTTTGATTCCCAGTCAGGGCACATGCCTAGGATGTGGGCTTGATCCCCAGTGTGGGGTGTGCAGGAGACAGCCAATCGATGATTCTCTCTGTTGATGTTTCATCTCTCTTTCCCTCCCCCCTCTCCCTTCCTCTCTGAAATCAATAAAAATACATTTTAAAAAATGTAACTAGGGGCCTTACATACTATATGGTACAGAATTGTATTTACAAACAGAACATTAAAATTGATGCTATAGTAATAAAACCGGCCCAGTAAAAGTTTGGTATAGGAATCAAGAGATAATTTATATTTAATAATAACTACCACTAATTGGGGGACTCCTTCCTATATTTGAAGGATTGTAGACAATTTTTATATAACATTATTTATAACCTGCTTTACATCTCTGTAAAGGAGGTAGTACTATCCTGATTGTACAGAGTTTATGAAAGTAATTTGCCTCGTTATTAATAGAGCAGATTCATCTCTCTAATGGCCCCAAAGTTTTCTATCTTGTAGTGCTATATAAGTACTGTATAAATGTTAACACGGTAAGGCCTTTGGGAGGGGAATTTGGCAACATGTATCAGATTTAAAATGTGTATACCCTTTGTCTCAGAAATCTCAGTTCTGGGAAGTTATCCTAAGGAGATAACCGGGCAAAAATTTCAAAATGATAAAATATGACACACAGTACCGTAGTTGAGAACACAGACTCTGGATCTAGATTGCCAGCTTCAAATGCCAGCTTCTCCACTTCCTGGCTGGTGACCTTGAACTAGTTACTTCTCTGTGCTTCACTTTTCTTATCTGTAAAATAGTGATGATAATATTACCTTAGTCACACATAATTGTTTTGGCAATTAAATTAGCTACAATATTTAAAGTATTTCAAATGCTGTGTGGCATGTAGTAAGTGTTCAATAAGTAATTATTTCAAGGATTTTTAGTGCAAAAACACCAAAATATTGAAAACAATCAAAATGTCAATAAGCGACTGATTGAATATTCATGTCTACACTGCAGTGATTTGTAGCCATTGAAAGAATGAAGATCATATTCACTGACATAAAACCATGTCTAAATCATATTGTTGACTAAAAGAAGTTGTAAAGCATCCTGTTTAGCATACCGTCTGTGCAAAATGTGACAGAAAGAAGGAAGATAATACAGATTGATGAAATGTATAAAGAAAAAAAGAATGAGCAAATCTTAGAATGCTATAAATAATGGTTTACATTTAAAAATTAGTAGTGGTATACAAAAACTATATATAAATATCAGTTTATATTTACATATAAGTATGAAATATAATAATAGTTATCTCTGGATGTTGGGAGTTGTCCTTTATTCTTTTCTCTATTATTTGCATTTTCTATAATAAATGTGTCTTTGAAGGCAGAAAAACTCTAAACAAAACAAGCAACAGAAGAACTATTGGGAAAATATAAATAAAAGATTAAATAATCTTTCTCTCCAAATTTAATTTAATATTGGAAGCATATACTTAATCTCTGAAGTGTTTTGTCACTTTTTGTGTGTTACATATTACAAGCTTTGTTCATTTGCTGCTGACACAATGTACATCTGCCTAAAATATATTGACCAATAAAATATGGGGGACAAATTTTAAAATAGAATATATAATGCTTAAAAAGTACAACTTTAGCACTACGTTTAAAGTAGAATATGTTTCAGTGTGTAACAATAACTAGAGATTCAATTTATGGATGTCTTAAGAAGCTTAAGTACTATAATAGAGTTATTTGCATCACGACACATATTTTTAACAAACAACCTAACTATATACATTCAGAATTGCCTTTTAGAGAATTCAGATTTGACAATAGAATGGTCATTATTCAAAATATTTTCAGAATTTTATATTAGGAATGTTTGTAGGCCCTGCGGCTACATCTTGTAAATGCCATTGGTTATATTAAAAAAAAAGATCATCTGAGGGAATAAACCACCAAAAGCTATTTACAAATGAGTCTGTCATCTAAGCACAATACTCAATAAAGAGTAGGTACACAAAGTTTGTCAATGGAAGAAAATTTGAGAGTTATGCTGAGTAATACTGTCTGGAAAAAAGTGAAATAATTTCAAAGTAAGCTTACTGTCATATAATACTCATGAAATGAAGATATCTTCAAAAAAGAGCAATTCTTTGAAATAAGCCATCTGACATTTAGGGCAAAACTGTCTTAGATGCATAGCTTTTGTATACCACAAATTTTTAAGTGTAAATAACATGTAGTGATATTTCATATTGTGACAAAAGGAGAATGACATATTTTCATATTCAAGTCAGATCTTTTAGTCATATGGATATTTTAAATTCTTTTATAGAAAGTGAAAACACTAGAAATGATTAGGAAATAATGACATTCCACACATAAACTAGGTTTACATGTAGCAAATATGTATTAATAGAAGTATGGGGCATGCTTAGTTTCATTAAAATATTTTTCTCATTTTTAGAGTAATGAAGAGTATTCAAAATCTGTTGTTGACATGATTACAAAAAAGTAAGTACTGTTGGATAAATTTTTAACTGGCTGTTCTTTTCATTTTCTATTCTGTTTTTTTCTGTCCAATCATTTTATTAGTGATCATATTCATTTTAATATGTATCTGTGCCCTATATTTCTATCTCAGGTGTGATGAAGTATAGCTTATCAATTTCCCCAATTGTGTAGGTTATTTACCTATTAAATTCCATGTTTTTCATGTTATCTACACTAATAAAAGAGAAACATGGTAATTGGCGTACGACCGCTACCCTTCCCATTGGCTAATCAGCATATCCTTATGCAAATTAACTGTCAGCCAAGATGGCAGCCGGCAGCCAGGCAGCTGGAAGCGAACATGAGGCTTCCTTGCTCCAGTGACTGCAGACTCCAACGTTCCCCGCCTG